TTAAGAAGCCAATGTATCAAGCCCCTTAAGTCAATTTCTTTAAACTGATGAATCAGTGCAGGAGGCAGGGGTAGGGGCAGGGCAGGGGGAGTAGAGTGTGAATTGAACTTAAAGTTTTTAAGTTCCTGGCTTGCTGAAAAGGTCGGTGTATTTCTGTTTCTGTAATTGCTGGAGAATGCAAGCAACATCTCCTTATACATTTTGTAGAAGGCTGTAGATTCACGATGGCATTTAGTTCATTGGGTATTTTATAGTAACCCAAGAGTGTTTAAGAAATTTTACATGTATTTTAAAGTGTTTTATTTTATTTTTTCTCTTTTGACATGGATATTAAGGGTCATCGGTCTGTTAAGTGACTCCAAAACACCCAGAAACTAAGTAAAAAATTTTCTCAAACAACCAGATGTTTGTCACCCCAAACAGTTGGATGGTTGACAGAATGGTGCACTCACATATTTGGGTGTCACCTAAATACAGTCATAGAAATTTGTCATAAGTACCCATCGAAAAAATATTAACCTTGGCACATATCTACCATAAGCAGAAATATAAAGGCTCCCAGGTAAGAACTTCACAGGCCTGGAAGATCCACCCATATGAAAAGAGATTTTTAACATGTCTTTATGTGTCCATTTTTCAATTAATTTCTCCACTCTTACAGTTAGAATAGAGCGGGGGTGGAGAATCCAGTATTTCAGAATCATTACATCACATTAAAAACATCATCCAAAAAGTAGTGGTTAGTTGGCATATATGCATGTTTCACCATATGCTATTGTTTACCTAAATTGGAGGCTCGGACAGGAAGTACAATTTAGAATAATTTTTTAAGTTGTAAATTATCCAAGATTATACTTCCAGGCCTTGAAATCGGTCCTGAAGTTACATAAGAATCTAATAGACTTCATTTATTAGACTCTACGTTACTATTTTAAAATATTAGGGATCCACGTCACCTGTAAAAATATTTACTTTTCAAATTAAAATTAGCTTTATTTCTATACAGAAATGTTAGCATTGCAATTGATATAAATATTGTTATATAATAATTTTCAGTCTATGCCATCATATTCCAATTTCCTCAGCCCTATTTTTCATGGGTTCCAAATGTAAGCAATTTTGCTGGTCTTGCTAAATTGTACCACAGCACGTCTAGCAAACTACAAAATCTCTATACATTATATATATTGCCATAACAGAGCACCGAATACTGAACAGACACCTATGGTTGGCCATCAAGGTTGTTAAGAATAATCAAAAGCTGTGTGAAGCCTTTTATAGCATTCACCTGCTCAAACTAAGCATGGCTCTAGCTGGTTATATTCGATATTTACTTTCCTCTGTTCTAAAAAAAAAAATCAATGGAAAACAGAAAGGAATAAAAATAATATATTAAGCCAGGATTCAGAATATTTTACCTTTTAGGAGAAAGAAAAATAATAGCAATCTCCATTCAAAATAGTGATTTAATCTAATACTCAGAATCTACAGATTATTTAAAGCAATTGTGGTATATGTGAGCATTTCTGAAATTTGATTCCTTTTAATTTTTATAATCAGCAGTTACACTTCCAGTCGTGGGTATATGCTGTTGGTCAGAATTGCTAAATTCTGTACCTTACAATATTTTTCATCTGCCTGTAGTCATACTAGGAATCCAGTTTAAACCTTTCTTCTAAACATTAAGTGATGGGAAGCTTTTAAAGTATGCATGGATTATTAAATTTGAGGTTAAAATCCACAGCAATTTAACAAATATATATAATTTTAATAAAGCTATTGTGCATGTTTTATACCTGATTCAAGGCATTCACAAGCAATTGCTTCCAAGCATGTGTGTGTGTGTGTGTGTGTGTGTGAGAAAGAGAGAGAGAGAACAAATATGAGTACTATAAGAAAATTTGTTTTTGTTAAAACAATTAATCACCGAGTCAGGTATTCAAAGTACTGGTCTTCTTTTGACCTCTGGTCATTTATAAGTAAGTAAATAAATAAATGCATAAATAATAATAATTAACTTGTTTGGGAAACTTTAGGGAATTTATTAACCATAATCTATACCAACTACTTGATAGCTGTACTTAAATCTGAAACTGAATGACTTAGGAAAAGAAAACTTCAAGCAAAAATTGTATGGATTCCAAATATCTATCTCTAACATAGAATGTGAATTTTTTTTTGTTTTATTAATTAACACTAAAATTTCTTACTACTTCCAAGTTTTTAAGGCTGTCACGGAAAATAAATTTCCACTAAGTTTTCTGTTTTCAGAAACAACATATCAGGAATGTTTTGCAGTTTGACAATTTAAAGTAATATCATACAGAATAAACTTGAATGCTAGACTATTCTGCTTCAGCAAGAATCTTTCTGGTAAAGGTATCAGAAAGGATCAATGACTATGAGGGAAACTATGATTATGTGGGTGTGATTTACACATATAACAGCCCGAACTGAAACACTGAGACTTCTAGGGTATTCAGACTGAATTAGGCCTTTGAATGTGATGATAGTTAAGTATAATGTAATTTTATTTTAATACACCTATATGCTTGAATATTTGAAATCTTAATCACCTTTACAGCACATTGATTCTACAAAGCATTCTTTCGTTTAGCCTCACTGTATATTTTGTCAAATGACATGACTGTCCCTAATTCATAATTGGAACCTAAACCTAATGGAAAATACTACTTCATGTATGCAAAAATATCTGTGGGTTTTTTTCTGCTATGTATATCTGACATTGTTCTCAGGACTGGACTCTACTAGTTTTATTATGAAAATGTTAACATTTCTTCATAGAGTTGTTTTACAGAAACACCTGTTTTTCAGAAACATTCTGGGGAACAACCTGAAAACTTTTAAATAACATTTAGAGCATGGATTTATTTTAGGAATTACCTGATCCCTTTTTAAATGCATATTTTGACTTTCTTTGATCATGAAAAGTTTTCAACATTATTTTGGCATAACTGAAAGCTTTTAATTACCCTTACAAACCCCAACTTTGCAACAGTAAATTATTTAATGCGTCACAAAATAGTGTTATGAACTTGAACTAAAATGGCAAAATTGGGATTCTGTTTCTCCAGTTATTTACTTTGAGGGTCTTACTGCGCCTTATGAAAATTCATTTTTCCCCACATTGCAGATATGAAGAGCAAGGAGCGGGGCTGAGCAAGCAAGCAGATGCTGGGTAATCATGGAGCAGAAGTTAAAGGTGTGGATCGCCTTTTCATTAATTTTGTTTTTTAAGCTTTTCCCTCTTAGACTCTACCCTTTCTTGGTAACACTGGAGTATCCACTGCTCCAGATCAGAAGACTTCGGACTAGGAAGATGAACCGGGCTATTTCAGCCAAAAAAATATAATGGAGCAGACATTTGCAATGTTCTCCTCAAACACGTTAAGAGTAGCAATTGATTCTCACAGTACATTGTTACCTGGCTTGTTAATTATAATCATAGAACAAGAGTCTAAAATTCAAGGAAGCTGTCTGTGACACTTACTTATCACAAACGCGATCAATTAAACGCGAATCTAACGGTACCTATTTGAGTCCACTGGGATGTTTCGTTTCCTTTTGGTCTTTAAAACCAAATGGTTACTAATTTCCTTTCTGTGGCATTGAGAACTTCTCCTTGTATTTCTTTGAGCCACCTCAAATACACCTCCAGGTTGGTATCCCAGGAAAAAAAACGGTAAAGTTCAGGACGTTTACTGACCAATTGTTTCATATTGGAGATGTAGAGCTTTTCTACCCCTATTAGCATATCGCCAGTAGCAGTGATGCAGATCTGCTCAACCCGAAGCTGCCGACGGCGAGTACGAGCTGCAAACCAACCCCCGCCCCCGCCCCTACTCTCCCAGTGGCGACACAGACATGGAAACATCTACTAGTGGAGTGAGATCTTCTGTCTCCGCAATTGTAAACAACTGACTGCATCGGGTTCACTGAAATGTTTAAATACACTCCTGACTGCAAACACATCGACTCACCAAGTAGCACTAACAATCTCCCCTTCTCCGCCTCTAGGCAAAGCATCTTGAAACTAAATTGGCAATCCTCCAGTCATGGAGTTAAAGAAAGTGAGGTTACATTTCCCCAAGCATGCCTAGCGGGTGCTTGGCTCTCGCAGATGTGCTGGCTGCTGCTGAATCTCCGGGACCACGTCTCCGTATGAAATGCGGAAACACAAAAACCTGCACATTGGAGCGCATGGTTAAAGTCAACACCGACGGCTCCCGGAGCACCGCCTGGGTTGTAATGACTGTCTCTTTTGACAAAGATTGACTAAGGTATAGGGAGGACGCATCGGGTGGGGCCCTCGACGGCGGCGTAGTTTAGGAGGTCCTGGAGTTCTCCCTGGAACCCGGGCTCCCTGAGTGAGGCTCAAATAGAAATTCAGAAGCGAACAGGTACTAAAGTGAGTCCCAGCCCTTGGGCATCTTCTCTGGGGAGACAGCAGGACCTGGACCCCAGTGGCAGAGCCCCAGCAAGCGCTCCAGGATGGGAGGGATGCCAGAGAAGCGCCCCTTTCTTTCTTTTTAGACCAAACCTCCCATCCTCACCCCAGGTACCCAGGTCCACTTGTTAGAGTGTCTGGGCTCTGCGCGAGAGCCGAGGCGAGGAGGCTCCCTCTCAGAACTGAAGGAGTTGGTTGGCAAAGTGCCGCCTGGGAAGCCCAGCGAGCCCTCGAAGGGCAGCGTCGCCAGGGCCCGCTGTAAGCTTGAACTGCGAACAAGGCCGACCTGCCTTCTGCCCCAGATGGTCCAGAGCCCCATGGCAGGCGGAGACCGGAGAAGAAGGATGCGGAGGCTCTGCCACCTCGGGCAGGAGTCCCAGAGCGGACTCAACCAGCCGCTCACAGCCGGGAGCCGCCATCCGCCGCCTGCAGCCTCGGGGGGAAGTTCGCCTGTAGTCCTTGGGGTAGAAGGTTGGGGGTAGCGGGCGGGAGCGAGAAGGAATGGGGTGGGAGTCAGGAGAAACGCACCTACCTATTCCAAGCGCAAGTTTCGGCGGCGTCCCCAGGTGCGGTTCCCCCGCCCCCTCGCCAGGTGCTCGGCTCCGCCGGGCGCTGCCAGTGCCCGGGACTTAGGGCGTCTCGGCCGACTCCTGCGGGAAACGACTGTAAATCCACATTACTGTTCGAGCTGCCGCTCGGGCCCCCGCATTGCTCTCCTCCGGCTGCTGGCGGCGGTGCTTTAAACCGGCGGCCGCCGGAGGCAGGAACCGAACCCGGCTACTATTGCACCAGCGGACGACCTGCCAGAAGGGTGCTTGCGCCCAGGGTCGTTTGTGTGTGCGAGAGAGTGTGTATACGTGTGTGTGTGTGAGAGTGAAAGAGAGTGTTCGTGTGTGAGAGAGCAGAAGGGGTGAGCTCAGCCCCTGGGGCACTCGGAGGTGAACTCCGGGCTGAGCCGAAGCTCGCCGCGCTCCCGGGTGCTGGGCGTCTGCACGGCTGATGGCTGGGCTGATGTTGCCGTGGCCGCCGCCGCCGCGCTCTAAGGCTGGTCGCGGTGGTGCAAAAAATGTTTCTCCGCTACTCGAGACCAAAAAACCTGCCCTGTCTACTGAGCATGCCCGGTTTGACAGCTTCACAGCCGAGTTTTTTTTTTTTTTTTTTTTTTTCTCCTTTTCCCCAAGACTCCAGGTTTTAGCCGCAGCTGAGATGGGAGGTGGAGGGAGGTGGGAGGAGGAGGAGGAGAAGGAGAAGCTGGGTTTAATGAGCAGGTATCGGGCAGAGGAAGGGAAGTCGAAATGAGAAAGATCAGGGTGTTATAGGGCGGAGAGGAGGAGAAAGCTGGATATGGGAGCAGAGGAAGGAAATATGAATCAACAAAATTTAGATTTCCTACCTGCCTGACCAGGGGACTCACACGACTAGTTTTTTTGTTGTTGTATTTTTTTTTTTTTTTTTTTTTTTTTTTTTTTACTTTCTCCTGAGGGTGAGGGTGGGGTGGGGGATTTGGATGAGTATTTGTCAACCCCAGGATCAGCCTGGGACAGTGTTTCCTAGTCATGACATACACAAACATCCGCGTGCACACACGCGCGCACACACACAGGAGCACAATCACTGCTTCTATGTGCAAAGCCTCAGGACTGACTTAGAATGCGAAGTATTTTGCCAGCATAACTTTGGCAAAAAAAAAAAAAAGGCGGGGCGGGGGGGGAGAGAAATTGTTTGGTTTCCTTCTCTTATTCTTCTCTCGCCCGCCTTCCAGAAAAGCCAAAAGCCGGTGAATGCGGTGCGTAAGCGAACCACAAGCTCTCTTGCGTCTGTCGGTGAGAGTGCATCGCCGACTGCGTCCAGCTGACAGTGTGACCCCAGAGCGCCAAGGCCGGCTGGCCACATGCAGCCTACTGGCGGCCGCATCAGATTAGCAGTAACAACGTCCACCTGAAGGTGGTTGGGGGAAGGGGGAGCGCTAAGGGATCCTGCCCTGCCTGGCCGCCCAGGTTCCTGGGCTCCCTAAGCGGCTCCGCCCCTCATCCAGCCTGGCACTAGGGCACGTACTCGGGCAAGCCCAGCGCGCTGCCCCAAGCCCTGGATCCCTCCCTCCCTCCCAACCCTCCTCAGCTTCCTCGAAAAAGCGGAGAAGCGGAATCTGCACGCCCAGAAACTCGCGTCAGGAGCCTTAGGAGTCCGACTGGGCATGCTCGGGACTTGGGGCGCTTCGCCTGGAGGCACTCTCCAGCGGCTAACATTTGCCCGGCTGGGCCAGATGTGAGTCTGAAGTAGGAGGCTTAGATGCCCGCTTGGAGCAGGCTCTGGTTCCGGGAGGGGTGGCGACGACGCCCACAGCGGTCTTCTTTCCGGCTTCCCAGAGAGAGCAAGACCGTGGGAGATACCAAGTGCCGAGCCAGGGGAGCCGCACCAACTGGAGAAATAGGAGTCTAGCGGATTCCCAGGCCTCCTGCCCCGCGGCGCCACCCCAGCCGTAGGCAGGTGTGGGGCGCGCAGAGCAGCGAGGGAGCACCCTGTGTGCTCCCAAGGGACTGCTGACCTCTAGGTAAAGAAAAGAGTGTGAAGAGTCGAACATTCTTTGGACGAAGGACGTTTACTGATTTTTTTTTTTTTTTTTTTTTGAGTGAAGAAAGAAGGGCGTGTGTGAATGTGTATGTGTGCACGCACGTTTTAAATTTTCCTCCGCAAGAACAGGGACAGGATAGCGAGAAGCTATTGCCGAGTTGGGAACCCGCTAGAGGTTACAATAAGGCAGACTTGGAGTCGTGGCTGGTGCTAGTTACCGGGAAGAGTTTCTCTTGGCTCGGTGGGTGAACACCAAAGCTTCCAACTGTTCCCCTCCCTGGGTGGCGGCAGCTTCCCAAGGTCGGCTTCAGGGTTGGTCTCTGCGCTCCTGAGCAGGGGACCAGATTCAGTTTCAGAAAGAGAGGTAGTACAGAGTGACGCCAGGGGGAGTTCTCTGAACCGTGTGTTCCCATTTTCCCAGCTTTTGATACAGGTATTTGCAAAGAGGGAGCATTGTAAGACCATCACACCACCAAGGAGAGGAAATACAAAGAGCTGAACACTCTAGGGGGAAGAATTAGGGAATCAAGAGCACGTTTATTCCCATCGTCCCTTTCCCAACAAGGTTTTCAGCTTCAGGCAGGAATCGTTTGGATCCCTGCGGCTTAACACCCTCCCCCTCCCGTCCCGCCCCACCACCCTGCCAACAAAGAAACAAAAGATGACAACCAGGCTCTGTAGGGGCATAGCAACTGCTTCTATCACCGGCTCTGTTGGGCTGTTGAGAAAGCAGTAGGGAAAGGATGGGTATAAAACCTGTGTCTTGTCACAAATATGTAAACGAAACCTTCCTAAAATCCACTACCCTCCTACAAAACAAAAACAAGCTATTTGTATAAACATATATAGATTTAAATATCCTAAATAAATGAAAGAGTCCACATTATGAACTGTCCAAACCCTGAACTGTGGAAGGAAGACTTTCAGGATACCTCCTCAATTCTTACCAAAGAGTTCTGCAAGGAGAAAAAAAGAAACATCTGGCCAGTCATTTCTCCAATGACTGGAAACACTCTTGAGTGTTTCTGTAATCAGTGATTAAGAAAAGAACTCCCCATAACAAAAAGGGAATTCTGGCCAAATGGGACATGGACAAACCCTAACGGCCAAGGAAATGGAATATGAATTTTAAAGCATGATTATCTCACTCTCATTCTTGCTGTTCCTTTGTTACTCTTTACGAAGATACTGGAAGAAAGGGAGAGTTGATACCTAAGGATTTCACGACAGGAGACTGAGTTTCTTTCTCTCCTGGCAATTCAGCAGTCCCTGTAATCATTTTTTAGAAATTCTCTACCACCTCCTCTTTATGCTGTATTTTCTTTCACATTCTTCCCTCTCATTTCCTTACCGGTCTCCTGTGGCTCCCTGGTGTCCTTAATTCATTTGGTCTGCACCTGTCTCTGTTTAGTTCCTTCAAAACATTGTTTCCAGTCCTAATTCCAAAGTACAGAGGGCTCTGTCACTTTTCTCTGTTTCCTAAGAACTGATTTGCTGCTTCTAGACGCCTATATCCTGATATTGTAGGTGGATTTCCTAAGGCATTTATTCAACTTTAGAGATTCCCCAGACACATTTAAGCAACATGAAATTGCAGAAATTTCAAGTAGTTTTGCTCATGGGACCAAGAATTTCTATTTCAAATATGAATATCAGGAAGAAGACACACCAAATTGCTAGTTTCAGAATAGCCAATGTAAATATAACAGATTGTAATGGAGCATGTGATCTCTGTATGACAGTTATCCAGTTGCCAAGTGTATATTATTAAAATAATTTGCTAGGAATTTTAAAAGAGATATACCTTTTTGTTAACAAAGACACACACACACATGCACTCATACACCTTTTTGTGTTTATTCCCGAAACTAATGTAATTACATAAATTCAATTCAGCAAGTGATTATGGAACATCTACTATATTCCAGGAACTGTGCCAGCACTGGGAATAGGCAAATAAATTGAGACTTAAAGAAGCTAAGAAATGTTCAAAGATGTGTGAACAATTTGCTAATCAACAAGCATATACTGTGTGACTGTTACCATGTACCTAGAACATTTCACTCCTAGAGAACACTCTTAGCTGAACACTCTAGGGGGAAGAATCAGGGAATCAAGAGCACGTTTGTTTATTCCCATCGTCCCTTTCCCAACAAGGTCTTCAGCTTCAGGTAGGAATCATTTGGATCCCTGCGGCTCAACACCCTCCCCCTCCCATCCCACCCCATTGCCCTGCCAACAAAGAAACAAAAGATGACAACCAGGCTTTGTAGGGGCATAGTATAGGGGCACATTTAGATGTTCTGGCCTTGATTTTTTAAATATATTTTTAACCTATAGGTTGCATTCTGTGAGAAGAATGCATAATGGAAAATATCACTTATGTCAGTTTTGTTTCTAAGTACCCTCATAAGTAAGAGTGTAAGTACAATAATATTTGCATTAGTCCATTCTCACGCTGCCAATAAAGACATACCTGAGACTAAGTAACTTAGAAAGGAAAGAAGTTTCATTGACTCGCAGTTCAGCATGGCTGGGGAGGGCTCAGGAAATTTACAATCATGGTGGAAGGGGAAGCAAACATGTCCTTCTTCACATGGTGGCAGCAAGGAGAAGTGTGAAGCAAAAGGTGAAAAAGCCCCCCCTTATAAATCCATCAGATCTCATGAGAACTCACTCACTATCACAAGAACAGCATGGAGGAAACCACCCCCATATTCAATTACCACCCATAGGACCTCTCCCATGAAATATGGAGATTATGGGAACTACTATTCAACATGAGATTTGGGTGGGGACACAACCAAACCATATCAATATTAGAAGACTAAAGTCAATAACGATTACATAAACAAAATCAGTGTGCACCATCTGAAATGAGGGAGTTTTGTTTGGTTGCTTGTCTAATGGGAAGATATTTTCAAAGGCATAATTTCAATATGTACTCGTTGTGGTGAACTCTTATTTCCTATTTCAACTGATAACAACACCATCCAGAGATCAGCTAGCAGAGATTATGAATAGTGCTGGCACCTTAACTTTTGGCTACAATGATTGGAAGCAGGAAAGGTAGCTTAACGATTTTCTACCCAAACAGC